GTAAGGAAAAATACATATTTTACTAATTATAATTAGTAAAAAATTTAAGTGTTGCATTATTTTTGATTGCCACTGTAAGTAATTAAATAGATTTTTGCATAATATACTTATATAATTATTATTTTATTTGTAAATATCTTGTTATAAAAAGAATAATACTCATTTCTTGCTTATCTTATGAAAATAATATATCAGTATAATTCCTTTTTGTATATTTCAAAAAAATAAAATATCTATAATTTACAAAACACTCTATCAATTTGATATCAGTTAGTATTTTAAATAATAATTCTATTAAATAAGAAGAAATAATGCTAACTTCTCAAAAAATATATTTATAAAACATGATTTAATAAAAAATTGAAAAAAACTTGCAGAGCATAGTATTAATGCTATATAAACAGAAATGAATAATAACAAGTTTGTGAATGCCTTTGATTTTCTGATGAAGCTAATAAGAAAGTTATGCATGATTATATAATATAGATAATGGGCAGGAGAATTCGGGCTCATATGATTTGACACCGTGACTATGATATTAATATATCGTTTTAATAATATATAACAAAATTAAATCAATTGCTATAGAATTTAACCATGAGAAATCATTCTTTATTTTTATGCCATTTTTATATGAATTACAGTTGAAAAAATTTATACTGATGCAAATTTGAAAAAAATAGAAAGAATTGCTTTTAAAATTATCGTACGCGCAAAAATAAGAAGGAATGATGGAGGTATTTACAAGTTGATCAAACTATGCATATTTGGTTACGATTGATGATAATTATACGTTCGCTTTAATTAAGGAAAAAGGGGAAATTGGGATAATATTTATGGTTGTTAGATGTTGTAAATAGAAGTGGTGTGTCGTTTCATTTTGGGTAATTCATAAGTGCGCGCATGAAATAAGGTATTGAAGAATATTGAAATCGCCCAAAAATTTTATAAACTTAGAAATTACGAATTAGAAATGGTCATACTTGTTCGATGATGTTGTTTCAAAAATATAATACGTGAGCTTTATTCCACAATTTAATAGGCATAACATACTTATTTTTAATGTGGAAGAGACGCGCAGTATAAAGATATTCACGTGCTTGATAAAAAGAGGAATTCATGGGGTATTTAATTCTTATTGCATAAGAACCTGTTCAAAGAAAGGCATTAATATAACTGCAATTTATATTATAAGTTTCAAAAAAAATAATATAATTACCTATGCATAAGGATACAAGTTTCGTATTCGTTTACCTCGGTAGAAAATATATTGTCGATCATCCGAATATATTCTTCTTTCGAATAATTTATAAACGTAGATTGCAAGGATCGCCATATTTGATGCTGATTCTCGGCGGCCTTAAATTATAAAATCAATTAAAAAAGAATATCTAGAGAAAAAAAAAAACAATTCAACAATTTACCAGAATTCCAAGAGCTCCGGCCCTTTTACCCATTGGTATGATTTGCTGTAGGTGCTGAATGTTTTTGACATCTCTAGTCGCAAGTAGACTACCTATATCGATTGGCTTCAAGGTGATGCCCTTTGTTTCCAGAAATGAAATAACTGTAAAAAGACAAAATTAGTTAACAACGTAGTTTTTGTGTATATTTTAAAAGAAACACATACAAGAACAGAATATACTTAATTACATTCGTTTGTTAATTTACGCAATAAAGGACCCGCGTTAATACATTCGATATCAGATTCAACGAATTCCAAAAATCCGCCAAAACTGGTAACACGCAGCAACTCTGGCAACACTATCCGTTCAAATTGTCCATCAGGAATCGATTGTAAAAGGAAGCGTTGGTGTATGAAATCAAAATTCGAATCCGAAAATCTAAAAATAAACATCGAAAATACGAAAATCGTGTTTTAACATAAAGGAAGAATCATAAGTATCAAAATAAAATTGACATACGGTAATCCTCGGAGAATATTCGCATTTATGAATTCTGTATTTCTAGGCTTAATCGCACTTGGGTACATTCGTGATATATCGATTCCATAAAAGGAGGAGGGGAATAAAGTCGCCATTTCTAGCATCCAAGTTCCCGAACCGCAACTAGAATAAGAACTTTTTAGGATAAAGCATATGATATTTCCGTCTTCGATGATAAATTGGAAATTTACCCAACATCCAGTATCTTTATGTTTCCTTGTAATAACAAATTCTCAATAGGTGAAAAGAAATTTCGTCCCCAGAGATTTTTTACAAGAAAATGCTCGTTGGATAAACGATCCGTTTCTTCATTGTCACACGGCTTTTGTTGTGAAAAATACATGAAAAATGATTAGCAAAATTCTTATTATACCTGATAATAAAAAATATCGTGAGTTTGTTTACAAGGTAATAGTGGACGTCCTGAAAATTGTGAAATTTTCGATCACCAATAACACGAACAAACTCCCTGGAATTTGCCTGTACGGCTTTATTTTTCTTCCCAATAGTACCATTTCTTTGTATGGATGACGCTTGTTTGTGAGCGGGCTGTGCATTGCTATCGCGGTGAGAGCTGCCGTTTCCAGGGTCGTAATCAATATCAAGTTCGAACGGAAGTTTTGAATTTTGTGATACGCAATTCCCCATTATAAGTGTTAGTGTAGCGAAGAGTAATGGTAAAAAACGATTCGAAGTTTGAATATAAAATTTGAATATTTTTATTTATAAAAAGAATGAAAATTATAAAGCCACCAAAAAGAAGGAATCTTTTAGATATATTAATTGCGAGATAAGAAGAATTACTCTTTACCTGATTTTTATCGAATTACTTTATATTATTCCTGGCGATAAAGATCAGTCCTAAAATCATAGAACAGCTATGTTTTATGTTCTTGTTCATGCTTATAAGGAAAGTTGCAAACAAGCGCATTGTAGCTTATATGTGCGTTTATATTGTGCAGGTTTTTGTTTTCAAATCTTGCTTTTGTTGTTCAACTTTGTGCATCCACACCAAAATATAATTTAATTCAAAATACAATCACGTACGCCCACACATCAATGTATTAAATTGAGTGAAAATATCTTGAATATTATTCGTTAAAAAGCAATTATCGCTTCAAATCAAACAAAACGTGCAGCTCTCATTTTATTTTTTGGAATTGCGCCAAATATACGGCAAAAGGGAGCCAAAATAAGATTAGATTACCTACCTTCTCACTCATTCTCTCCCTATCTAAACGAGAAGAAAAAGAAGCTTGAATTACACATTTTCTTGTGTAATTTTCAATTTTCAATTTCTTTTTTTTCTTTATTATGCTAAAATTAAGGTCAAATGATACTCGCAACTAAAAATAAACTCTGAAGCTCGGGAATTTTAACTTACCAGCCGAGGTATCCTTTAATTGACAAATAATCTCTATCGATTTTTTCACTAAAGAAGGATTCAAAAAACGTGTTTTATCTCGACCTAACCCGTGTTCGTTATAAGATTATATCGCAAAGCCGGATATAATTTGTAGTAATACATAATTATTCTGTTCTCATTTCTACGAAAATCTTATTAATTCGTTTCGTTTTAATTATTGTCGTACAAAAAATTTGTGTTGCAATATTAGAATATGCATTATCCGTTACCTTAACTTTTAATGAATTTCACGGGAATTTACAGGAGGTAATTCTTTCATCTATCCAAAATAATCGTTATAATATAATCAATCCAAACATAAGATTCATAAAAAATTATTTTATGCTTGCCAGAAGAATCAAGAAACAAATACGGAAAAACTTACAAAGCACTACACGAATCATGATATTTAGAGAGTACAGTTATCATTTTATCACAATTAAATTAAAGTTTGTATTTGATTATGCGAGATTTTATTTATTGGTGCGGTTTCAAAAAAAATTATTCCGTAATTCATTGCATCCTTTCCCGTTAGCCCCAGAGCGGGATATCATATATTTGAGAAGGCAGTTTATCTGCATGTATATAAGATAAGAATGCAAGCGGATATTTATAGAATTGAGAGACGCTGTGAAATCCCGCAGATTTGTACAAATGACCAGGTTTCATGAGATAAGCATAGTTACAAATATGTATGCGAGTTGATTCTTTGTTCGAACAACACATACTAAAAAATTCCAAATTCCTAATTTTCTTTATGAATATATTCTTTACCATTATGAGAATTTGCAACGTTTTTACTCGGTAATGAATATCAATTCTATGACCAAAACGAGTTAGGTGTCCTTGGAAATTCTGTTTAGAAAAGTTTAATAATCTGCAGTCACTTACAAAACATCTTTGACCAATCTCGTTTGATATGCTTATACGTGTGTGTACGTGAGAGAAAATCTTGTTGGAATGCATCAATGAAACAAAAACAAATACAAATACAGCGTAAATTTATTAAAATGAAAACAAATTGAATTGAAAATCTCAACTTTATACGATGAATTCTTTTCTACCAGATTCACATTCGATAAAAATAGATCAAATGATTATAATAAATAGAAGAATTTGGTCGCATTTTAATCATATATAATCAAAGGATATAGAAGCATAGTTTAGCCGAGAAATGTGAATTCGAGTAGTAGAACGTTCCTAATATTTTTGTCATTTATAAATTATTGCTGTGGTTTTTTTTACAAATATACGATTGAATAACAAATAAAAAATTGACGATTAGATTATGCAAGCATATGTATCATGTGCATATATCTAAAATGTAGTGTTACTCAATAATATCGAAAAACATGATCGACCTTTATTGAGAGATAAGTCTAAATACGAAAAAGTCTGGATATTCACATGTAAAAGTAAACTTTATATATTTTTTAAAGACATAGATACACACGTTTTACAGGAGTTTAATATAATAAAACAGTATACAAATGTAGGACAAACAGACTTTTACGATTTTTACATATATGTTTATATGTCTCTAAAGCTTTATTGTTGTAATTATGTAAATTTATTGCATTTTTAATATAAAATAAAAAAGGGAATTCCAGATCGATCTGATTAAATATAAATTTGGTTTTAGGGGCTGATTTGACTCGGGACGCGAAAAAAAACATTTGTCAGACTTATCGCTTTTTTTATTTTTCTAGCTGATAAGTAATTTGACTTCAAGCTAACGTAATGTAATCTATCTTAGATTCTTCTCGTCTGTTGATATTGATAAGTCAAAACAATTTTCTGGAAAACTGAGGCATATTATTATGGATTTGTTATCATCCGTAAAAAATTCTAACCTTTTTAACAAGGGATTTCTAATTGGGAAATTTTCTCGATTTGATCGGAAACAACTCTTTACGTTTAATCCTCCAAAAGTTTCTGAAATCCAGAACTTTGGACATGAGAACCTGCTAAACCTCGGGTCGTCAAATCTCCGAAACTTTCGGGATAAAGATCCAGAATTCTTCCAACCGAGTCGAGAAATGTCCCGATTAAAATTTCTGGTTGAAATTCTTTAAAGGGACTCGAAATTTCATACATTACGATTTGATTAGTTATGCTAAATTAATGTGAATCTATATATCAAGCAAAAATTGTTTATAGATGAAAATTATTATATATGGGACAAGTAACTCTCAATCAACTCGGTTTTGCCGTTCATTGACTTGAATATCAAGATGATGATACAAAATCCTTAAGGCAGACAACCCTTTTTACCAGAAATTCTTTGCTCTTTCTAACTTGGCTTTGAGAAAATTCTTGGAGTTAAAAGCTATCCGACATCCTACTTACATACATTGATAATATTTTTTATTCTACAATTAAGATATATTTAACGCGTCCTTTCAAAAGAGACAAGCATATTTTGCTGTATTATTACTATTAAAGTAAACATATATTAAAATTAACCATTGATCTCTGCGCGCTAATGCCAGAAGACTTTATCACTGAATTTCTGCAAAAAAATAGAAATTAACCAAAAATGGTTAGTGATTAAACTAAAATAATTATCTATCAATGTTATAAATATTTATATCAACAAAAGAATTCACACGAGAAGATACTTTGTCTTTATCCTCACTATTCTCATCCTTTTAATACAATTTTTTCCTCACCCCTTTTAAACGTTTATCATAGTTAATGTTAACATGACAATAGCAATTCTTCAATTTTTTTCTTTCCTTGCTGTTGAATTTCAACGCATATGTTCATGTTCTGACTCTTGTTATTATTGTTGCTATGCCAATTAATACTTTCATCTCTATAATTAGAAATTGGCTAAATAGTGATGGTAATAAAGATTTTTCTCACTTTTATAAAATATTAAAGTTGAAAAAGGACTGAGAAAGAGAAAGGTCAGTTTTCTTAAAGAGCACATTTACAGCAGTTGCTTTGTACGTTCTATATTCCGATACATGTAATATATAGATCAAACTAAATTATTCAACATCTCGTACACAGTCAAATTCGATAAGATAAAGTCTTTATAATATAAATTAGGTTTGTTCTCTTACCTCAAAATTTCCTCGATAATCAGTAAATCATCAAGATCAGGTATGCATATGTTTGGTGCCATCCGCCCCATATAAACAATCTACTCGGTACTAATCTATACTCTTACTCTAATTCTGGTCATACCTATTCTAATTTGGGCCGATTGTAATTTGGAGACACAACACATATCGTTGTTCAAATAAATCACTTGATCAAATATCGGAATCTTTATATTCCTAAAAATTTTTTACAGATATTTTTTTAGGGAATCTAGATCTCGCATCCTGTGAGATGCTTAAATTCGCACATGGAAGATCATGTGTTTTTTAAGATTAATATATATACGAAAATTAAAAATTTAAAAGGACGAATTTTATTATAATAACTTGTTTATACAAAATGATAATAATTTTACCAAATCAAGACTTACTTAAAATTAGTATTGAGAAAATATATCAATTCTTTTAAAATAATAATTATAATAATTCTTATTTTAACTTGTAAGAAACTTACTAATTACTTTATTTAAGTTAATAAACTAATTTTTCTTTAATAATAATTTTTTAATCATGAATTTAAGTTTTAAGAGATAAAGATTATTGATATTATTCTTAATAATATTATTATAAGACTTAATATATTATATATTTTGAATGTTTATATTAAATACATAATATATAAAATATAATATTTAAGTTTTATGATATCAATAGATAATAATAAGTATTATAATTATTATAATATAATAATACTCTAATTATTATAATATTACAATTCAAAATTATTAAGATTATAATTATCATAAAGTTCTATAATAAGCAATTCTCTACATTATTATTTTTGAGATCAATTTTTAGGAGAGTTACTTATTTTTGAGTTCTTTATATAAATATAAATATATTGATGATTAATAATTTAAATTGAATATTCTATAGCTTATCAGATTCATCTTATTGAGATGATTATTTTGATAGTTTTTTCATTTGAATCTGATTACTGATTATTAAATATTCAGAAAATATTTACTACTATATATTAAAAATTACTATTATAAATAGAAGTTGCTTATTTAAATTTTTTAATACTTTTGAATTTGAAAAGAAGAGAATTGCTTATTTTAGGAAATTACTTATTATTAAAACTTTATAATAATTATAATTTGATAATACTTATTTATTATAATATTATAATAGTTGAGAAATTATTTTTACTAATAAAATTAATATTATAAGTAATTAATAATATTAATATACTTTATTATTAGTATAGTCTATTTTTTTAAAAATTAATTTTATATAATTATTATATATATAATAAAATATTACAAGAAATTATTTTATTTTTTTATTATAGTATTTATTTAAAAAATATTTTTTAAGATATAAAATAGATAAAAATAATATTTTATTATTAATTAAGAGATATTTATTATAATAATTATTATTATAAACTGAAAGTAATTATAATTGTTTATTAAAATTATAATATAAATTATTAAATAGTAATTAA